AATCTATTATACGATTTGACATCGCGCAATTATAGACAATATTAATAATTATTATTCTCTTTCTTGTTAAATTATTATTATTATTATGTTAACCTTAATTAATACACACGATTGGATTATATTCATCTTTAGCGTTTTTTTGTTCCTTTAAATGTATTGGAAACACTTGGTTAAAATATAATAGATTTATATATATTATTTTCCTAAAAAAAACCTTGGCGTCTGGTTATAGAGAAAGTTTTATTATGCATTACCGGTTTCCGTTAATTCCTGCGTATTCTCCGACGAGAACGTTTTAGAAATTCATCTTATAGATTTTAATATCATTATAAAGACCTTCATATGAAAGTGTAGCGAGTGTAACTCACTTTTTGCAAATAAAATATTTTTATCTTTCTATTTTCAATTGATTCTCGTTTATGTTGCAAAAATTTCACCTACTAAAAAAAGTTGTTTTTGTAACACAATGATAGAATGCATTGTTTATATAATGTAAATGCAATAAACGTTTAATTTATATCCATTTATGCACTGTAAAAAATATTTTTTTTTTAGTTACTCAATAACTAAAGTTTATTTTAGCCAAATTTTTGGACAATAGACACTTGAATTATTTTTTTCCTTTGTAGAATGGAATTGCCAACTTTAAGAATATTGCAACATATGTCAAAGTATATGTAAGAATCACCTAATAATCTTTATATATACTTATAAAAGTAATGAAAATTAATCCGCAATACGAAAGACTCATCATATGTATACATATTAAGGATTAATTAATATTTCTAAAAAAATTTTTATCAAGTCGAAACATTAAAAATTAACACACATAAGAGAAATTTGTTTGAATGTTACATTTATTTTTTATTTATATATCTTTACATAACAAGATTAACATAATTTTTCACTCTATCCAATTTTTATTCTCTTTCTTTGATCTTATAGGCGATTAAAAAAGAAAAGATCGCATACGTATTTAGTATGGATAGTTCTTTTCTTAACATAGTAAAGTTTAATTTAACTTTTTTCTGATTCAAAATACTTTTGCTTATTAAAATGAAAAAATCATGTAGCATTTATATTTGGAAATCAAGTTCGTGTAATGAAGAAAAAATAAGGAATACTTTTCAATCTTTTACTAATCAAAGTCGTATAACGAATCTCAATAGACTTTACTTTCACATAAGTAAACATACTCACACACACTCACACACACACGCGCACGCGCGCACAGATACATAAAAGTAAAAAGATATTCCATAAAAATATATCAGCGTTTATCTTCTAAATACTCGAATTTTACTTTTATAGAATGTACATTTTACAACGCAGTGCCCCGTGAAGTTATGAAAATTTGTTTGTAAAAATGTGTTGTAATAAATGCCTTAATTTCTACTTTGTTAACATAATGATCAATTGCTAGCAAGTATTTGAACATAAACATTTTCAAAAATCTCCTTACACATTCGCTTTTTCAATGTTTTCTCAAATTCGATTCGAGAGGAAACAGCTTGAGTGTATTTATCTTTTTCACAATTAGTATATGTGTGTGTTCAGAGAATATAATATATATATTCCTGAGAACTATTATTAATTAAAGAAAACATTCATCTGTCGTGCTTGCTATCGTCACTTTACAAAGTAAAAAATTAGACAATCCGATATCTTGGTAGTAGGACTATAGCATCTATTTACAACTTGTATGATATGGAAGACAAATCGCATAAAATAAGTATATTTGAATGCGAAAAGAAATAAATATACAATTCTAATATTTATATATAGCTTGCACTTGCGCACATTTGTTTATATATACATGGACGTGTGTAAAATATTCTTTGTGTCGACTCTTAAATTACTTTAAATGCAGAGACACTTAGGTATACACGAAGTATAGAAAACTTTCATACTTTTTTTTTTAAAAAAAAAAGTTTGTCAGAATATATATACATATACACACACACATATATACATATATATTAAAATAGTTAAAATAATGTTCATTTACACATAACTTTTCTTGACTGTTTCATATACAAAAGCATTTCAATATTCAATTGGCATTTGCAAGAAGTGCGATTATTCTTTTCTTCTTTATTTCGTGTTCTTTAGATGATTTCGTCATTTATATTAATTAACAAAGCAATTTTTACGGTGATGTAAATAAAATTAAAGATTTAAGAGATGGTTGCAGAGTAATGCAAATATGGTAACATATAACTGTGCACGTAACCAAATAATATAAAGAAAATAACGTGATAGTCTCAATTTCCGTAGAATGATTTAACTCTATTGGTTGTCTTTTGAAAGAATCTCGCACTAATCATATA